TCAGCTTCATACTGGAAGTTACTGAAAATTTACACTCAGGTCTCTTGATAACATTTGCAATGTGAATTTTCAACAGAGACATACAAAGCAAGCTTTATACAAGTCATACAATTTAGCATTGTAGGAATGGCATCAATTTTATCTTCTAAATAAAAACAAGATTTTCTAAAATTTACAAAACTATTGGAGGCTGGACTGTTCTCTTGCTAATATGCAATAGGCTCTATTTAACTTGAAGAGTTTGACAGACTGTTTTTGCTAGCTTTTTTTCCTATGTACACCCCACTGACAAAAATGTTGCCCCAAAGCATCTATTACTATGTAACCTGCTGTTACAAAGGACAAGTTTGCTTGTAAGCTGGGTAATTTGACAAGTTTGTTCCCTCCTTCAGATATAATGAAGATCAGAAATTCATATCTCTTTGCTCTGGCACAGAACATCAATTAATGCTGCATTACTATCCTTCCTACATATTTCTCATCTTTACTCACATATGTCAACAATGATCTATCCCAAGATTACAGATTTTCAAGCATTTATGTTAATACAATTACTCCAACAAGGGGTCTGACCACTGCCTGAACATGTACATCTAAATAAAATGGAATGGAGCAATGGGAATAAAGACAGCAACTTACAACCTAAGAAATAGAAACAATGTTTTCACTTTCCTATTACTTGATGACAACAGGCATTAAGCAACATGTTGAAAAGTAAAATCAGAGACTGAGCTGGGATCGTGCTACTCTTAAAAAGTGCAGCAAATGGAAGGCTCGCACTATGTGCACAAGTTATATGGTCAATAATAGATAAGTGAAGGGTATATACATTTCAGAAAAAAACTGATGAATTAAACCATGCAATAAATGTAACAAATTGATATACAAATAATTACAAAACAACATATGAAAATTGTATTATTCAATAGTTTAGCTGTTTATTTAATTGGGAGAACTGACTTCCAAGACATTTGAAATAAACCCAGTTAAAAAAATTCTACCAATAGATTTGACAAATTGTTTCAATTTGCTGGTTTAAAAAAAAACTTGAAATATTATTCTAAAGTTTTGATTATAATTTAACCCAGAACACTAAAAGAAATCACTACATGTTTAAGAGTACATAATAAGCCAGTAAATTATATATAGTCCTGTTGTCCCTAAATATGTCAGTTCCGAAAAGCTCAACATTTTCAAAATTCAAAGTTACATTTTATTTAAAAAGCCATTCTAGCCTCAAGGTTTTCCCTCTAGCCAAAATTAAATGACGAGACACCATGTTAGAAATTTGCAGTAATGTCTGCATATTAAATAGTACAATCTAAATTTGTTGTGGTGTGATTGGGACTGATACACAGTGAAATCACGAAGCAATCAAATTAGAAAATCTGTGGTTGTGGAGAATTGAGGGGAAATTTTATCGTTTCTTCTAATTCAGTTTGAATAAACTGGACAACACAGTTTGCTTGCACTATGAAGCTAATAGCGTACTCATAGGTTAAATTTGTTTGGGGGGCATGGGGGTGGGGAGGGCAGAGACATTAATGAGCTTTTCTTCACAATGCAACTGGCATATTTGGATATTATGACATAAACCTCAATTTGTTTAAAGCAGTAAAGTTCAACAATGCTTAACTACTTTATAAGCACTCAAATCTGAAACCATTTCTGTTTTGGCATGTGCACCTACTCTGGAGCCACCTACGAATCAACATCTGGTGTGGCTTGAGTATCCAGCTGTTCTGGCTGAGATGCTGCTTGGTTGCCTGCATTTGCCAGGAAGTATGCAAAAGGATTTTCTTGATTGCTTTCCATTGCTTGATAGACCAGGAACAGGATAAACAACACAATGATGAACAGCAGGATCTGAAGCCACACAGGTACAAGACGCTGTACTGGCTTTTTCTCTTTTGTAACCAAGTAGCTGCTTCTCTCCTTATAGTTGGGTCTCTCTGTTGCACGTGTCAGGAAATCATCATACTTGTACTGAATTGGTCGACCTGCTGCTCCTTTGATTGGTCGACGTCGTGTTGCACTGTACGCAGAAACAAAAATGTACAGGTAGATTTGTCAGTGGAGGAATTTCTTCACCCCCCACCATAACTCCCAAACTACTAGTATTTGAGGCCTTAAGACAAAATTAAAGATAGATAATGTATCTTACTTGATTCCCGAAGGAGAATTCATTTCATCAGGAAAGATCTGAGGCAACACATCTCCCATGTCCTTCGGCTGCAATTAAAGAATAGATCAGGTTTAAATACTGCTTGAATAATTGTGTTGTATGCAGCTGATGCAACAAGTTGAATATAAACCACAAAAATGCTTTCAGCTTTATATTCCCAATTGTATTCAGCTGTCTGCAAAAATAAATAGTGCACTTGTCATTTTACACCATGAAGATGAGAATTTAAAACTTTTAGTTCTAATACAGTAATACCTAACAAATACCAATATCTCAGCAATTATTCAATTGTGCCAATGACTGCAAATTAATTTTGCTAAACTCCAAATTCATTAAAATTAAACCATATGACAACCAGATCAAAATGAATAATTCTGTAATTATTCCATACAGAAATCTGACACAGTCTAGAGACAAATATCCTCTAATTTGCACTGTGCAACAATCTGAAAGATCCTGCACAGACTTTATATGCATGGCTGCTCAAAAGAATTTAAAGTGGCCATGCACTTGAACCAAGAGGTTACAGGGAATAGTGCCCAAAGGAAGCAATTTTAGTCGGCAAATTCCAAGGAGGAGAAGATAGCAGGCATTTACACCAGAGCAAACCTCGTCAACTATTCCCCACCAAAGTTGTTTACACCCCGCTGTAAACGCAGATTCACACAAAGCCACATTTCAGTGACAGGCATTTGCATGTTAAAGTTAGAAGACAGATATAGACAAGCCAACCCCACATGGATTTAGCTGTGAGACTGCCATTAGAATTGGCAATGAGAATATCCAAAGGTTTAATGTAATAATCTGTCGTAACTACAGAAAGTAATTTATAATTGCAACAGGATTTGTTTCTAGTAAAAGTAGGGGCAATTTTACATGAGGCATTTGGAAGTTTTATTTTTGTAGGGCAAATCTCATGGGTTGACTTTTTAATACAGTACAAAAAATGTTTTTCTGTAAGTACTCATTCTTGCTTGGGAACAGTTGCATAGTTCTGGAATTCTTCTAGTATCTTGCTAAATGGATACACAGTATTGTGAAATTAGTCATTCATCACAGCAGGCTAAGCAACTACAAAAGAACATTAGCGCAGTTATCAGAACAGTCGAGAATCAAGGGCAGCTGTCCGGCTGATCTAATAATTCTATCTCTACTTTCCTGCCATGTCTCCATAACACTTAGTTTCCTTATTGATTAAAAATGCCTCTCAGCTTTGAACAGCTTTAACAACCTACCCTTCACAGCTCTCAGTGACAAAATACATTCCAGATTCACTACCCTCAGAAGAAATTCCTTCTCATCTCTGTCCTAACAGGGAAACATCTTACTCCGAGATCATGCCCTCTGGTTCTCGACTCTCCCAAAAGGAGAAACAACCTCTGCACATTTTTTTTTTTTTTAAGTCATTCATGGCTAGGCAGCATTTATTGCCAATCCCTAACTGCCCAGAGGGCAGTTAAGAGTCAATCACATTGCTGTGGGTCTGGAGCCACATGTAGTCCAGACCAGGTAAGGATGGCAGTTTCCTTCCCTAAAGGACATTAGTGAACCAGATGGGTTTTTCCAGACAATCAACAATGGATTCATGGTCATCACTGGACCCCTAATTCTAGATATTTATTGAATTCAAATTCCACCACCTGCCGTGGTGGGATTCGAACCCGGGTCTCCAGAACATTATCTGGGTCTCTGGATTAACAGTCCATTGATAATACCACTGGGCCATCGCCTCCCCTGAGGCCATCAACTCCATCAAGCTGCCAAAGAAACTTTTCTGTTTCAATAAGCTCACTTCTCATTCTTATAAACTCCAATGAATAGATCATAGATCACAGAATCCCTACAGTGTGGAAACAGGACCTTTGGCCCAACAAGTCCACACCCACCCTCAAAGCATCCCACCCAGACCCATCCCCCTATAACCCACCTAATCCACACATCCCTGAACACTGAGCAATTTCGCATGACCAATTCACCTAACCTGCAAATCTTTGGACTGTGGGAGGAAAATGGAGCACCCGGAGGAAACTCACGCAGACACAGGGAGAATGTGCAAACTCCACACAGACAGTCACCCGGATGTGGAATTGAACCCGGGTTCCTGGTGCTGGGAGGCAGCAGTACTAACCACTGAGCCACCGTGCTGCCCCAAGGCCAATTATGGACACTTTGGCTCCGAAATTAACAACCAATACACTGCTAGGCACAGACAGGGATCGAAGTCACGATCTTCGGTTTACGAGACCAACACCTTCTACTGAGCCACCAGGCTGAACTTTCTTAACCTCTCCTCTTAAGAAAATCCCTCCACAACCAGAACCATTCTAGTGAAGCTTTTTCTTGATTGTTTGCAATACTCGTATATCTTTTGTTAGATAAGGGGACCAAAACTGTTCAAATGTTCCAGTTGTCTGAGTGTTCTCGAATGAATGAATAGGAATGGAATCTTTCTATTTGTAGATGCATTTTCGCCTACTACATCTGTCATTACTCTGGACGTTATCCACTTCCCTGATCTTTATCCATAGTCCTGCTGATTTCTACTTTACAAGTATATATCCAATTCTCTTTCAAATTATTACTGAATCTACTTTCACTACGCTATTAGGAAGTGCATTCCAACCAAGACAACTTCCTATTGTTAAGAGAAAACAAATCTCATTTCCTCTCAGGGATTTTTGCCACTAGTCTTAAATCTGTTTGCTCGGTGTTACTGATCCTTCTGCCAGTGGGAATAGTTTATAAAACCAATTTAGTCTACTTTTGAACAGCCCTATTAAATCCCTCCTCCTTCAACCTTTTCTGCTCTTAGTTGTACAGGGAAGGAGTTAAGAATGAGGGAGTGCACGTATGTCTACAGGAGAATTTAACAAGAAAAAAATTTGAAACTACAGCACTGGGGAAAGCGAAGAGACACGTCAGTAAGAACATGGATGAAATGGACAGTTTTGGATATGTTGCAAGATAAGATTTAGCCAAGGTGAAGTTTATGGAGATGAAATAAGAACATAATAAATTAATACTAGAAATCAAACTGGGGAACTTGTTTTGTGGTTTGGCAGTACAGCAGTTTGTACTTTTACTCACATTTGAATAATACCATAGTAGTTATTTACAAATGCTAAGAATATGAAAAAAAAACATACATCGCATGGTGCATCCAAAGGAAGAAACAATATACTCTTCATATATAAAAATAGTAATTCTATTTAGCAATTAGTTTTATACAAGATTAATTTAAAATTAAATTAAAAGTAAATTAAACAATAGGACAAAACTAAGTTTTAAACACACTGCCTGAAGACAATGACTAGGGAGGAATCAATACTCCAGTGATGATTGTTGACTGCAAACTATGTATGGGCTCTCTTGTAAGTTACTTTCTCAGAAGATACTGAACAATGTTGTATTTCCTCTGCTTATCAATGGTTGCGAGAACTACAACATGTACCTGAACCCGACAGTCTTTTCCATTCAAATATTAAAACCAACATTTACATACAAACATTATTCAAAAGCACAAAGCTGCAGTGAGACTGTGGTTCATGTGTTGGCTAACTGCTCTTTATCAAGCATGAGATGACAAATTGCTGGACTAAAACATGCTTCAATGTAATGTGAATTAGAACATGAGAAGAATAAGACAGCTCAGGAACATAACACAACACTAGTATTTTAAAACTGCTTTCCATACTTGCAAGGAGCATAATTCACACAAAAACAGGAACATTCCTACTTTGTTTCAAGTCATGCAATATTACATTAGACTATTAGAAACATAAGACAGCTCTGGCAGCAAGGGATAGACAAAGGAGAATTATTAAGACAGTCATAGAGATGTATAGAACAGAAAAAGGCCCTTCAGTCCACTGCATCTGTGCAAGTCAAAAACTATTCTAATCTCATTTTCTAGCAGTTGGTGCCACACCCTTATATGCCTTGATTAAGAAAGACAGAAAAGAAAAATGGCCTAGTTCTGTATTAGCTCTATGCAAAGTAAGTTTGGGAAAATAAATAAGAATCATCTAAAGAATGTAACAATTACGATTTGAGTTTGAGTTTATCTTTGTACCTCTTGCTTCATTTTTTCTTGTCTTACAAAAAAAAATGCTTTCGTTCGCAGATTTACCATAGAGCTGATTAATAGGATACAGTTTTAGCTCCCAGACTGCTGAGAGAACTTCCAATTTTTCAAAATCTTTCTCATTCACTGATCCATAAAGTGAATTGTAGATTCTATTTTAGCATCCTCACAGCAAAAGTTATTACGCATTTAATACAGTTGAGATATAATTAAGACAAAGTGTCATTCTGGTCATTAAACTAGGAGGAGTTGGAACATCATGTGGAGGTTGTACAGGACGTTGGTGAGGCTTCTTCTGGTGGCCCTGCTATAGGAAGGATATTATTAAATTGGAGAGAGTTCAGAAGAGATTTATCAGGATGCTGCCAGGACTAGAGGGTTTGAGTTATAAAAATAGGCTGGGACCTTTTCAGTGGAGTACAGGATGTTGATGGGTGACCTTATACAGGTTTATAAAATCATGAGGGGCATAGATAAGGTGAATAACAAGGTTCTTTTCCCTAGGGTGGGAGAGTTCAAAATTAGGGGGCAGAGGAGAAAATTTTAGAAAAAGACGAGGGGCAACTTTTTTTTCCCCTTACACAGAGTGTGGTTCATTTGTGGAATTAACTGCCAGAGGAAGTGGTGCATGCAGGTACAGTTACAACATTTAAAAGACATTTGGGCGGCACAGTGGCTCAGTGGTTAGCACTGCTGCCTCACAGCACTAGGAACCCGGGTTTGATTTCAGCCTCGGGCAACTGTCTGCGTGGAGTTTGCACGTTCTCCCTGTGTCTGCATGGGATTTCTCTGGGTGCTCCCGTTTCCTCCCACAGTCCAAAGATGTGCAGGCTAGGTGGATTGGCCATGCTGAATTCCCCATAGTGTTCAGGGATGTGTAGATTAGGTGGGTAATAGGGGGATGGGTCTGGGTAGGATGTCCGAGGGTCAATGTGAACTTGTTGGGCCGAAGGGCCTGTTTCCACACTGTAGGGATTCTATGATTCTAAATCATTTGGATAAGTACATGGATAGGGAAGGGTTAGAGGGATATGGGCCAAATGCAAGCGAGACTAGGTTAGTTTGGGAACATGGTTGGCGTGGACTAGTTGGACTTAACGGTTTGCTTCCATGCTGTATTACTGTGGATTCACATCTTGAATGAACTGATTAACTGGTGAATATTATATTCAAAACTGTGCTGCTGATATTAGTTGTATCGTAAGAGTGTTTGTAATTTTAAAAAAACTTTCCTTCATTGCAATTGTAAGGAATTTGCAGCATAGCAAGAGGCATTTGGCCCAACTAGTCTTTACTAGCATTAATGTTTCAGAAAAATCCCCTCCTTTCATCTATTCCTTTCAGCATAACCTTCTATTACTAGGTCTAAACAATAATCTAGCCTTCCCTCAAGTACCTCTGCACTATTCACCCTTGAAGTTACAACTTCCAATTTCTAATCATCTTTGAATGAAGATGTTTCTTTACTTCTCATTGAAATTAGTAGAGATTTGGAGTTCAATCTACTCTTTATGTTTGTCCCACATCAACGTGATAATTTAAAATAATACTGTTAGATCACTCAGTTAAAAATCCTCAGTATGTTCAGCCTCTCTAACGTCTTTTAGGGAAGAGCTCCGTCATCCTTATCTAATTTGGCCTAATGAGTCTCCAGATTCACAGCAATGTGGTTGACTCTAAAGTGCCCTCTGAACTAGCCTAGCAAGCCATTCAGTATCAAAACTGCAACAAAGTCTACAGAAAGAAATGAAAGCAGACAGCTCACCTTTGAACATAACATCAAACACAACCTTATTGACCATGCAAAGCCCCACCAAAAAGGTGGCTTTTTGGAAGAAGCACTGATGGTGGCAAGGGCACAGTATGTACTCTGGGTCAGGGACTTTGGTGCTCATCAGAAGGAGTTGCTCAATAGCCCCATTACTGGTCAAGCTGCCTGAGGTCTAATGAGCATAGCTGCAGCATGTGCTGAGGGAACCAGTAAGAGGGAAACTGCATCTGTCCATGACAGTATTTGTAGGAGTAACCACTACACATTCTTGTAGGGGAAGTTCCGCATTCACTTTTAGGATGCCTACCATTCTGTTGTGTGGTTGCGATAAATGGCACAGATTTCAAATGGATTACAACTCAAAACTTGGCATCTATGACATACTGTGGGACATCAACAGTAGCAAAATTGTATTCACCCACAATCTGTAACCTTATGAGTTGACATATCCCTCACTTGGCCATCAAGCCAAGGTATCGACTCTTGTTTATTGAAGAGTGCAGGAGGGCATGCCAGGAACAACACCAGGCATTCTTAAAAATAAGATGCCAACCTGGTGAAGCTACAACACAGGACTACTGCATACCAAACAAGCCTTAGATACTCAGGGCTAAACAATTCTACAACCAAAGGATCAGATTTCACTTCTATAGTTTTGCCATATCCATTCGTGAATAGCAATGAACAATTAAACAATTAATAGGAAAAGTCTAATACATCATTGCAAAAAACAAAACTGATGCACTTACATCCACCTTCAGCTAGAAGCACCAAATGTATGATCCATCTTGGCCACTGCCTGAAGCCCTCAACATCAATCTTCTAATGATTTGATTCACTCCACGTGGCATCAAGAAGAAGTAGGTGAAAGCACCGCATACTGCAGAGTAGTGGGTGCTGACAATATTTTGACAATAATAATGAAGGCAAGTGCTCCAGAGCAAGTTGTTCCAGTATAGCTACAACACTAGCTCTGCCTAGCAATGTATAAAATTACCCAGTTATGTCCAGTCCATTAAAAGCCGGACAAGTCCAATCTGGTCAACTGACTGTTCTATTGGTCCACTCTAGATATTTCAGCAAAATGATGGAAGGGGTCATCAAAGTTACTATCAGGCAGCACTTAAATTACTTGTTCATTAACACTCAGTTTGGGTTCTGCTGAACTCAGAAGCTCATTACAGCCTTGGTACAAATGGACAAAAGAAAAGAGCTAAACTTTTCAGAGAAGAGATGAAATTGACTACTCTTGGCATCAAGACTGCATTTGAATGAGTATGTCACGAAGGTGTCCCAGCAAAACTGGAATCAATGAGAATTTGGGGAAAAACTCTCTATGTTAGAGGCATACCTAGCACAAAGGAAGATAATTGTGGTTATTGGAGTTCAATCATCACAGACGCATTTCAGGACATCGTTGCAGGAATTCCTCAAGTTAAATATTTTGACGCAACCTGTTCAGATAGGTTATGAGCTGACAGTACTTGACCTCAGGCCTTTTGGGTCAGAGGTAGGGAAAACACCACTGCACCACTAGAGCCCCAAAATTCCTCAGGTTAGATAATTCTAATCAACCTGTTCAAAGGTGTTACTTCAGACCTCTGTAGCAGACGGGACTTGAACGGGGGCCGTCTGGTTCAGAGGTAGGAACACTAATCGCCAGATTCAAAAGCCCAAGCTCCTCAAGTTTTTTTACCCCTAAGTTCCTTACTTTACTATCCTAGGCAAACCATCTTCAGCTGCTTAAATAAACAACCTTCTCCTCCATCATGATGTCAGAAGTGGGGATGCTTGCCAACGATTGTGTAAATCTAAGCACCATTTCCGATTCTTCGGATGCTGTAGCACTTCATGTTCAAATGCAGCAAGACACGGACAACGTCTAGGATTGGGCTCATCAATTTAAAGTAACATTTGCACCACAGTGCTGGGTGGTGACCAATGCCAATGAAAGCGAATCTAACAAACACCCATGACATTCAATGGCATGACTTGAACCAAATCGCTTGCTATCAACATCCTGCAGGTTATCACTGTGAACTGGCCATATAAATACTATGGCTACAAGAGGTCAGACACTAGGAATTTTGCAGTAAGTAACATCTCCTGTCTCTCCAAAGCCTGTTAAATCAAAATACAAGGAACAAATTGGAAGTGTGATGGAATATTTCTGACTTGTCTGGCACTACATCCATCACCTTTAACATTTACTTCCTTCAGCACTGACGCTCAACGGGTAGCAGTACGTATCATCTAGAAGATGCACCACGGAAATCATCAAGCCTCCACTGCCAGTACCTTCCAAACTCATAATCCCTACCACCTAGAAGGAAAAGGACAGCAAATGCCAGGAACACCACCACCTGCAAGCTCCCCTCCAAACCATACATAATCTTGACTTGGATATTGCTACTGTTTCTTTTTACTGTGACAATGAGACAAGGAATGTTAAAAAGACAAGCTTTAAGGCTTTGTGCCTAAATGCATGGAATATTCAAAATAAAAAAAAGTGTATAAATTAATTACGCAAATAAATGTAAAAGGTATGCCATAGTTGGGATTATGGAGACATGGCTGCAGGGTGACCAGGGATAGAAATTGAACATTCAGAGGTCAGGGTTTAGGAAGGATAGACAAAAAGGAAAAGGCAGCGGAGTTGTTTTACTGGTTAAGGAGGATAGAAACACAATATGGAGGAAAGATATTAGCTCAGACAATGTAGAATCTGTCTGGGTAGAATTGAGAAATACCAAGGGGCAAAGCAATTAGTAGGGTTAGTATACATACTACCAAACTATAGTGGTGATGTTGGCAATAGTATTAAATAGGGAACCAAAAATGCATGCAGTAAAGGAACATCTGTAATTACAGGTGACTTTAATCTGTATATAGAATGGGTAAATAAAATTAGCCATAAAACCGTAGAAGTGGAATTTCCAGAGCGTATGACAGATGGTTTTTCTGGACCAATATGCTGTGAAACCAAATCAGAGAATGGGCCGTCTTGGAGAGAAAGGAATAACTGGTAATATAGTTGTGACAGAGCCCTTAAGGATGAGTGACTAAAATATGATGGTGTTCTTCATCAAGATGGAGAGTAATATAGTTGAATCTGAGAGTAGGGTCCTGAATCTTAATAAGGAAAACTACAATGGTATGAGGTGCAAGTTGGCCATGATGGATTGAGAAATTTTACTGAAATGAATGACAGTGCATAGGCAATGGCAAACATTCAAAGGAGTGAATGGGTGAGCTACAAAATACTGTTTATTCCTGTTTGGCACAGGAGTCCAAAGAGAACAGTGGCCAAACCATGCCTTACGAGGGAAGTTACAGACAGTATTCTATGCCAAAAACAGGACATACAAGTTGGCAAAAGAAAAGACCCAAGAATTGGGAACAGTTTAAAGGCAGCAAAGGAATAAGGTTTGATATGCATTCAAAATTACTTCATTGTTCTCATTTCGCTTCCTGAAGAAATGAAATCCAATGTTTGGATCTATAAAATTTCTTCAACATCATTGCTTTTAGTGATTTATGTACCTGTATCCCTGAAGTCCATTGCCTCATTTAAGAGATATTTTGCAAGCAATACATAGCATTCTAATAATTCTGCTTAAGTTAAAAACTTGCACTTCAGTATGTCGAATTTGTCAATTGCTCAATTATTCTGCAAGTTTATTTTATATTTCGATGTAGTTTTTATTATTTGCAATTCAATTTGATATCATCTTCAAATTTTGAGATCGTATTTCGATTCCAGCCCAAATTATTTACAAGTGCAAACGTCAGCAGTTCAAATGGAACACCAGGTCCCACCTTTTGCCACTGTGAAACCAATACTGATTCCTACTCAGCTTTCTACAGAACAAAAAACAAATCAGCTACTTGTTGTCTGACTCCATATTCTCTGACCTAAGCACAATGAATCTATCATGTGATACTTATGATCAAAAGTGAAAAAGTGTACCTAAATAGTATATTAAAATGATACAAATATTCAATTATCTGGGTTTGTAGTCAAAAACATTTTCTCACTTCTGCTTCCATGGTAGGAGTGGTCCTTTTCAGAATTGTATTCAGATTGAAATGACTAGCCAAGTGGAAAGAATCTTTTTGTGACCTGATCACATGACCAGTTATATTTCTGAACCACAACTATATGGGCATCATTACCTGGGTTAGCTCCAATTTGCTTGTACTACTTACAGCTGTTGCAGTGACTTTACTTGTGCTTTGTCTTTGATTTGAAGAATCTAAAGAGAAATACAGTGATAACATGATTACTACAGCTTCCTGAATTTGAAGTACAACCAGAACATAATTGGGGATTATGCAAATGCTAAGGGCATTAGTAATACCATTCTAGGTGACAATTTTATCATTCAAGATCAGTAGATGTGTCATTCATCCCAGGTCCATTCTGCATTATGTTATGATTTGGAAGACTGCAACCATGATCAATGAACAACTTTGCTTTTTAAAGTCATGGTTCCATTAATGATGCCTTTGAGATATTAGAGTCCAAAACTTTAATGCAATCTTTTAGTGAAAACTCCCGTAACAGATGCTGCAGGACAAGGAAGCTTAAAAATGAGTTAGACAAAAGGCTGGGATCAGTTAAAAGGTATTAGGTACCACTTTATTAGGGATTGCTTTAGTAATTCAAAAGCAATACAATTCATTTAAGAGCAGTGACAAAATTATCTTACAAGTAATATTGACTATCTTGATTTTGTAATTCCAAAATTCTAACAAGGTGAACATGATCTCTAGTACAGATCATATTTAGGGGTCTAAATTTGCATATGTTGCACAGAATTCATCCGAGAATGAAAAATGAGTCTGTGGAATTCAATGTGGAAGACACAAATAACATGCCGAAAACTAACGGCAAGAAGGTTATAGCAGGCAAGGACCTAGAAACTATCATTATCACTAAGGAGGCAGTGCAGGGCAAGCTAATGGGGCTAAAGGTAGACAAGTCTTCTGGCCCTGATGAAATGCATCCCAGCGTACTAAAAGAGGTGATGGGGGAAAATAGCAAATGCACTAGTAATTATTTACCAAAATTCACTGGACTCTGGGGTGGTTCCCACAGATTGGAAAACAGCCAATGTAACGCCACTGTTTAAAAAAGGAAGTAGACAAAAAGCAGGTAACAACAGGCCAGTTAGCTTAACTTTGGTAGTGGGGAAAATGCTTGAATCTATCATTAAGGAAGAAATAGCAAAACATCTGGATAAATTGTCCCATTGGGAACACCCAGCATGCGTTCATGAAGGGTAGGTCATGTTTAACTAATTTGGTGGAATTCTTTGAGGACATTACTTGTTTGGTGGACAATGGGGAACCTGTGGATGTGGTGTATCTGGATTTCCAGAAGGCATTTGACAAGGTGCCACACCAAAGGCTGCTACATAAGATAAAGTTCCACGGTATTACAGGTAATGTATTGGCATGGATAGAGGATTGGTTGACCAGTAGAAAGCAAAGAGTAGGGGTAAATGGGTGTTTTTCTGGTTGGCGGTCAGTGGCTAGTGGTGTGCCTCAGGGATCAGTCTTGGGACCGCAATTGTTTACAATTTACATAGATGATTTGGAGTTGGGGACTAAGTGTGGTGTGTCAAAATTTGCAGATGACACTAAGATGAGTGGTAGAGCAAAGTATGCAGAAGACGCAAAGTCTGCAGAGGGATATAGATAGTCTAAGTGAGTGGGCAAAGGTCTGGCAGATGGAGTCCAATGTTGATAAGTGCGAGGTCATCCATTTTGGTAGGAATAACAGGAAAATGGACTATGTTTTAAATGGTAAAAAATTGAAGCACGCTGCTGTGCAGAGGGACTTGGGTGTCGTTGTGCATGAATCGCTAAAAGTAGGATTGCAGGTGCAGCAGGTAATTAAAAAGGCAAATGGAATTTTGTCTGCCATTGCTAGAGGGATGGAGTTTAAAAACAGGAAGGCTATGCTGCAGCTGTATAGAGTCCTGGTGAGGCCACACCTGGAGTACTATATGCAGTTTTGGTCTCCTTACTTGAGATATATTGGCACTGGAGGGGGTGCAGAGGAGATTCACTCAGCTGATTCCAGAGTTGAGAGGGTTGGATTATGAGGAGAGGCCGAGTAGACTGGGATTATACTCATTGGAATTCAGAAGAATGAGGGGAGATCTTATAGAAACATATAAGATTGTGAAGGGAATAGATAGGGTGGAGGCAGGGAGGTTGTTTCCGCTAGCAAGTGAAACTAGGACTAGAGGGCAGAGGGCATCGCCTCAAAATAAAGGGAAGCAGATGTAGGACTGAGGTCAGGAGGAACTTCTTCACCCAAAGGGTTGTGAAATCTGTGGAATTCCCTGCCCAGTGAAGTGGTTGAAGCTACCTCGTTGAATGTGTTTAAGGCAAGGCTAGATAAATTTTTGAACAGTAAAGGAATTAAGGGTTATGGCGAGTGGGCGGGTAAGTGGAGCTGAGTCTCAAAGAGATCAGCCATGATCTTATTAAATGGCGGGGCAGGCTCGAGGGGCCAGATGGCCTACTCCTGCTCCTAGTTCTTATGTTCTTAATGTTTAGCTTGCTACATTAAATGGTCATAATCGAATGACAAGACAGTAATGTTTCATATATGGAAATATCATGCTATTTCTTTTGTGTTTTTCATATACAAAGCGTATTAGTGCAAAGGTATGGGTTAACACGTGCAGACAGTCTATCTCCCAGACTCCATGAGTACTGGTCACCTGTGGAAAAAGGGAGAAACACAGACACACCCCTGACAGCTGGAATAATGGATCAGTGTCTACACTTGCAGATAAAAAACTAAAAACGTGTGACCTTCAAAAAGTTCTCACTAAGACTGTGTACTGCATTATTAGAAAATCTGCCCGTTATTCCAGTCAATGCTCATTGTTCTAAATTGTTTTATCTGTCTATATTTCTTCATTAAATTTGCATGGTAATTCCAATGAGTTGTTGAGTTATAGTATAAAACGATTCAGGGTAGAAAGGCAATTATTTTAGCTCTTTATGATTGAGGTAGTACTGCTTCCATGTCAGAATAATCACTTCTTTTCAATTTCCCTGCATTTTCTCCTACCTTTGTTATATTTGGATCTTTCCTATCCTAATATTCTACTGCATTTTCAGATGACAAACCATCAATCATCTCCCACCTGTATTGTCCAAAGGTGTCTGGAATCATCCAAAGATAAAAGGGCACAGTACATTCCTATTACTGGGATGCCAATGAAGGTATATTTATATGGAGGCTTCCTATGTTAGCCAATGTGTAGACTTAGAGAGAGAAGAGAAACTGACCAAAATGCTGCTTCTGGTGCCCTTCCATCTACTACTGGACATTTATTTACTAATGTTAAATGTGGGCAACATTGGGCTTAAGCTCTAACACTCACAATCATGGATTGATGACATCTTTTTGTACATGTGCAGTGTACTGGGAGTGCTCAAGAACCTGTACTTTGGCAAGGGGGGCAATAATTTTCATCATTGTTAAATACAGCTAGACCTTTAAAAACAAAAAAAAACCCAAAACCCACCCAGGAACATTTTTTTCCCCCCATTTTTCACAAGTTGGAAATTTAGCCAAAAATCTCAAGGAAAATGTATTATTTGAAGAATAACCTAGTAACTAATGAGTGAATATAGCAATTAGTTTATAGGCAGCTGCATCAATAGATTATAAAAGGCATTACTTTGCTCCTATCAGCAAATAGTTTCACCTCTGGAACAAAACAAGCTTTTGCATATCACTTCTGGAGACAGTCTGAACTGAGAGTCCCATACATCCGTTATTCTGAAACATCTAAATATACTTTCTTAGCATCACAGCTAGACAGTGCTGCAAATAAAACAGCAGACTCAATTTCCTACCTGAACAGACATATTGCAATTTAGGTTATGAAGTAATTAAATCCACACTGGGGCTACTATAAATCTTGCTACTTTTCTCAGGCAAATAAGAACACCTGATCTGCAACACAAAACCTAGTTTCCACTCACCAATTCTGGTGTGTGTGGAGCCCTCAGGAGGGAAGTCTGCAAAACAGAATTATACTTTTGTAAAGCATTCATTTGAAAAATAAACCATTTTAGAATAGGTGGGTCAGAAAATCTAGCTTGCATGAAATTGGACCCATTCAATAAATGATTGAAGCATACACTCTGGAATTCAAACCCATTGACAAAACGTGCAGGTACTATTGACCATTCTACAATTCCTATTCTGTTTAAATATAGCTGTAACTTAATTTTGAACACATGACTTGGAAGACAAATCTGGAAAGATTGAGAGGTATAATTTGAAATAGTATAAAAGTAAACAAAGAATCCCTTAAAGCTGCAGCTTTGTACACTTGCTAGATCTTCTGCGTACTACATGCTAGTTTGCAAAAGGGTATGGCTCTGCTATTGATCCTCATTCAATTCTGGTACCAATTGATCCGAATAGTTGAAACTTCAAGTTGCATAGAGATTAAGTGGAACAGTATAATATTGTTCTTTCACCTAGGAGGTCACAAACTAAATTATAATCTAGACCAATGCAACCACTCAAAAGACTGCAATGGTCCTAACTGTAATAAGCTTGTAAATGCTCAATTCTACTTGGAAACAATCCACGTAACAAATAATTGGTGCCAAGTGGTATGCAATGTCAGATTAAGACTTGTACGAGAAATAAAGGATGCCTTTTGTAGGGTGAAAATCAAAACGGACAACTTTATTTTACAACTAATCTGTTCTCTACACTAAGTCTCTTTTGTGGACAGCAGTTATCCAAGTTAAATGCGCAACCTAGCAATTTTTTTTCACCTGGATAATTATAAAATGCATTCCAAAATCATGTATTCAAATCTGTTTACATTACTGAAAGAACCACTAGTTAGCAGTATTATAAGACGTCGTTAAACTATTTTTCTGGTGAAATACACAATTCTAAACACAATCAAATGAAAATAGTTGTATAACTAGTGCTGGCTCAGGATAGATTTCATTGATTTATTAGGCTTTAATTTTAAAAAATTCTAAACAGAGACAGACACAGTCTATGAAGTTAATAACTTGAACTTTAAATCGAATAAACAATTTTTAGATCTGCAGTTAATCCAAATTGGTATGTGGGGTTTAGTGGTGTTGGTGATTGGAGCTGGGAATGGTTAATACCTAAGAGGACTGCACTAAGTTATAAAAAGACTATTAATAAACTTGAGGAACAGGGAAATAGTTGGCTAATTAAGTTCAATACAAGTGCGTTCTAACCAACCACTGTGGTGTAACAAAAGGCTCAAATGTAGGTTTTGCACAACTTCCCTAATTTTCCATTCTCTGTCTCTAGAACTATGTCTTAGTGTATAGTTTGTTTCTCTTTTTCTAAATTCATTCATGAGATGAAGGAGTTGTTGGCCATTTATTGTTTATCCCCAATTACTCAGTCAACCAGACTGCTGTGGGTCTGCAGTCTCATGTAAGCCAGACCAGGTAAGGACAGCAGTTTCCTTCCCGAAAGAGCATCAGTGAGGTCGATGGGATAATCAACAGTGGATTCATGGACATTGTTAGACCCTTAGAAAAATGCTTTTATTACTTACATATATTAATATGCCTTTGAAAACATAGAAGAGACTGAAAGAAATCAAATACAATTTGCTAGAAATACAAAGCAGCCCAGGAAGCGTCTGTTGAGAAAAAGAGGACTAATATTTTAGATCTATCACAAGTAGAAAATACTAATTCAGCTTCTATCACCCACAAATGTCACTTGACCAGGTAACATGTAATCTAAAAATGGGTAAACTTTTCTAATGTGACTGTTGCTTCTGTATATCTTGGGATTCTCTAATAACTCATGCTGACTTCTATCACCCACAAATGTCACTTGCCCTGTGGCATATTTCCAGCAATCACAGAATTCTCCTTTATGTTCAAAATAGTGACTTTACCATCTTCCTCTTCACTGTCTGAGTATTGGTCAACATCTCCAGTTCCATTTTGTTTGAGCGGAGGCACAGTAGGACCCTGTCCCATCAACTTCAGCAGTTTCTTCTCATAAATTGTCCTCGTAGTGGCTACATGTGGGGACAGAAGGCAGCAAGGTCAATAAAAAGGAACACAGGAAGATGATTATTAATTGGAAAAATCTGTGGAAGATTTGGAGCAAATTCAAGAAAAATGAACATATCCATTTTGAGTCAATCAAGTGTGGAAGGAAGAAAAATGAAAAAAGTCAAAGACAAAAAAAAAAGAAGTGTAGCGATAAAAAAGGCATTTTAGTTTTTTTAAAAACAAACAGTTTCAACTTCCACAAATAGCAACAACTGCAAAATGAGGAAATAAATTTCAAGGTCACCTGGCACTTCACAAGAGAGATTAAGAACTTAACATGTGGGTGAAATTACAGATATAAAATTAATTGCTAAATTATACAATCAAAAAATTGAGACGATTTCTACAGAAAGAGCAACAACAGTAACTGCCATTTATACACCTGACATTGTAAAGCACCCCAATTCGTTACACAGATCCTAAACCTGGCAGAACTTGACACTGAATGAAAGGAAGAAATATAAGAGCATGTGACCAACACTTGATGAAACAAAGATCTATGAATGCTAGAAAGCTGAAATGAAAACAGAAAGTGCTGCAGAAGCTCAGCAGATCCGGCAGCATCTGTGGAGAGAAACAGAGTTAACATTTCAAGTCCGGTGACCATACTTCAGAACTGATAGCATCTCGGAAAAAGTGGAATTTATCTTGATGACAGGAGGTTGTGGGGATGTTGGGGGGAGGAACTGAACTGATAAGTAGAGATGGAGAACAGAGACAGAGACAGACAATAGAGAGGGATAAGCAGACAAAGATTGTTGCCAGTAAGCCAGGGAAGACAAAAAGATAGATAGGTGACAATGAAAATAGTTTACTTATGCTGGGATTGTAATGGATATCAGCCTGTCCCCAGAAATGGAAATGAGAGATGTCAAGAAAAGGAAGGGGGAAGTTCGAGATGGACCTGGTGAGGGTGATCAAATATTAGGATCATAAGTGGCCACTTCCACCACTACCAGACACTTATTCTCCTCCCCTGCCTTGTCAACATTCCACAGGGACTGTTGCCTCTGGGACATAATGGTTACTCTCCCTCAACTCCCAACACCTCTCCGCACCCTCACGGTATCAACACATACGATTGCACAAGGTACAACACCTCCTCCTTCCTGATGAAGGCCCCAGATCCACCTTCTAGGTGAAGCAGCATTTACCTGCATTTCATTCAATCCAGCCTACTGCAATCGCTACTCACAAATGTAGTCTCTACATTGGGGAACTTGAAAACAGACTGGGTGACTGCTTTGCAGAACACTTATGTTCTGTCCGTAAAATGATCGAGTTTTCAGATGCCTGCCACTTCAATACACTAACATGCTCCCACGCCAACATTTCTGTCTCAAGCCTGCTGCAGTGTTCCTGCAAGGCTCAACATTAGCTGGAGGACCAATACATCTTCCATTTAGGTACCTCACAGCCTTCAGGACTCAACAGTTAGTTTATAATTTCAAAGCATTAACACCTTCTTCCTTATCTATTACCTAACCCCACAACCCCAGCTACTATTATGAAATGAGTTGATTTTTGTATAGTCAGCCTATTTTCAACTACTTATAGTCCTCACTATTACCAATCTAACTTCTCCTCTTCCCTGGCTGACTATCCACAATCCATTTGTTTGCCTACCTTTTTTTCGCCCTCTCTCTGGGCTCTACCTCCAACCATCCACTCATTCCTTTTTGCCCCATTCCTGCCATCATTAGCACAAAACCACCTGTTCTTAGCTGCTTCCAGTCCTGGAGAAGGGTCATTGGTCACAAAATGTTAATTGCGTTTTCCTTCCACAGTTGTGGCCAGGCCTGCTGAGTTTCTCCAGCAATTTGCTTGGTTTTGATCAAACAAAACAGATATGTTCAAGAATCGGCTCAAAAACTATGAGAGGTGGAGAGGTATGCCAGAGCCCAGGGTCTAGACAGCCAAAAGCACAATCATCTCAAAGGGAAAGAAACAGGAAATACACAAGTCACAGTTGCCAAAATTAACTGTTCTGAGTGCTGTACGGCTGAAGAAGTTTAGAAACAAGGGGATCACGGAGGGATTTTAACATATGAATGCAAATTTTAAAATTAAAACATTGGTATACTGGGAACCAACAGAGAGAGAGAAACAGGAAATTTTCAGCTGCTAATCAGGTTTGAAATTTGCTTGAAATGCTGTAGCATGTTTTAATTAAAACATTCCAATACACCAACAATCCATCTTAAATATAAACAGTAAGAGCTGGAAAAACCTGGGCAGCACCTGTGAAGAGTAAAACAAACTGAGTTACAGGTCAGATTTTCAAATAGGATTTTGGCCTGGTATAGGTTTCATTTCAAAAGTGAGGTCTTGAATGTTGTCTTGGGATGCCAATGCCTCCAAAACAGTTTTATCTGCTCACAGGAATGATGGGAGGGAATGGGATAGTTGTTCTGTGATAAATGAGTTATTTATTTAGGGGCTGTTTAAAAGCTTGCGAATGTAATTTTTACATGTTTTTTCTGGCAAACCTTAAAAACCTGTAGCACATTAGTGTAGGTACCTTAGCTTGTTGCTTTTGCTTTAGTTCATCGCTTGAATTCCTAAGGAACTGCCTACTTGTATCCTGAAGGCAGCTGCAGCTTCCATGTAGCTTCCACCCTCATGACACCTTTAACTGGATGTTGAGCTCACCTCCTCCAAGATAATGTCATTGGAACTTAACCCAGAATTCATCCCACTTTGAAAACATGATCCAATGTTTCAAGTCTGTGACTTTTTTAGCCTGTGACCTTTTGTCAGACAGTCTAAAAATGTTAGCACTGGCTCTCTCCTCACAGATGTTGCCAGACTGGCTGAGTGCTTCCATTATTTATTTCATATTTCCACATTCTCTGTATTTTGCTTTGCCACCATCTTGAAAGTTGCTCAAGCTGCAACATGAAATAGATTCTTTGCTGACTGAATTTTAAATTGAAATAGTTATTAGAACAAAAAGTAGACCTATTGAAATATACTAGTTTCCACTTTTACATACAGCTAGATATATCCCACTGTTTCTGCATTCAGAAATGAAGGCACTGATTGAGTAATGTAGAAAGAGAATCTTTAAATATGTACCTACCCACAATAGGGCCAGGTGTAACGCCATGTTTCATAAGCTGCTCTTTCAATTCTTCATTGCTCAGCTGTGTGACATCCATTTTATCTGTATGGTTTTCTTCAGCCTCTTTCAGTTTGGGCAGTTCCTTAGTTTCAAGGAAAACAAAAGATAAACAATGCTTAATAGCAATTGCAACAAAGGCTGCAGTATAACTAACCTTTAAAGTAATAGAGCACTAACTGGTCTTACGACACTAGCTGACAAGGTATGCCCAAGTGCAAAAAAAGCTTCTTACAATAGGATTATGTAAAAACACTAAGATTAACATGTTGTTACAAATCATATATTAACAAGGAAATAACTAGATACACAAGGGTTCATTAAGTAAGTAACAAAAACAAAGTTGCTGGAAAAGCTCAGCAGGTCTGGCAGCATCTGTGGAGGAGAAAACAGAGTTAACG